TATAAGAACACCTACCCTTTGCATTGTATCATGTAGTATTTTCACTCTTAACTTGAATGAACTTGACATAGAATTTATTTTAATATGAAAAATAGGAAATTCAAGTAAGTGTGTGAATCCAAATCTTCAGATTTAGATTCAAAGACACTGAAAAGACACTGAAAGAAAAAACAAACAAACCACTAACTGGTAGGTTGTGTTGGAGAGCACTTTTACTGTGATCTTCAGTGGGCTTGCTGTATTTATTTGAATCTAATAGGAAAAATCACATCACAACCAGGATCTGCCCTAAAGTGATATTTTTTTAACCATGAAAGTAACATTTTAAAATATTCTAAATATTACTACATTCAACACTCAGTAACTGGAAAATGTTTTGCCAAAGGCCTTTGACACTTCAAGAAGCAATCCATGAAAAAAGTTACAAAAACTCCAAAATTTGGACTTTTTCCAGAGTTCGGATTGTTTAATTAGGATGTCAGCCCAGGAAAATGAAGGTTACTTTGTTGTTGTTTTCTCTAAACACAAATGCAGTATAGCTCATTGAAGATTCTCACTGAGCTGTGGTAAAAGCTCTCATGGGAAGGGGCTTTATAACACTCCTTGGCTTGTTGATGAAACCCTGGGTTTGAAACCACTGGGGCAGCAAACGTCTCTACCTGCGACGGAGGATATCAACCCAACTGAATGTACAGTCTAACAAGGGCAGGCTAATCATTCCTGTGTAAATGTGTCCTGTACGTGCCTTACAAGGATACAGGATAGATGAACAGATTGAATAATAAGGAAAATTTTGTTACATTAAAGATTGCCTTTAATGAAGATAAAGAATATTATTCAATTTGTTTCTAATATAAAAAAGTTGACACTAATAACAATTTTTTTAAAAAGGTACTAAGTTGTATTTACATTTTCTTTGGACTTAGATGAAAAGTATGTGATAACAAAACTTAAGTTTTATAAATATATATAATTTATATATCAAATAAAGATATATATTTATATTAGGTATATTAGATAATGAAAATTTTAAGTGTATTATTATATAACTTAATGTATATATAATATAAATATTTAATATATAAATCATATATTTATATAAAATATAACTGAACTTCTACAAAATAGAAATTCATTTGATTCAGTGAATTTAAATTTTGAAACAGATGAAAAATAACAAAAAAATCCCCGCTAAGAAGATTAAATAGGCTAGTCATCCAAAAATCAACATAGCTTATTTTAATAATTTTAACTTGTCACTTCTTAATGCTTAAATCTTATTAGCTCATTCTTCTAAAATAAGAGTTTCAACTGATGAAAGAAAGTAAATAAGAGCAATTTAGGCACACTTGGCTTTGAATATGAACTTTCTCAGTTCCTGGAGTGATCCAAAAGAGGTAATGGAAGCTTGGTCAGAGATGCAGAAAAAGGGGGGATGGTTATTACAGATACATTTCCCATAGTTACAGAGCTGCTGCTCATGATTTTGTTGGTAGTAAATGCAGCATGACTTGGGATAATGTCTTTCAAATATAGCATCTGTCTGTACTGATTTATTTGATATTTACTTTTATATCATTTAAAAATATGACTTACCCTGGCTTCACAAAGTAGGTATTTGTTAAATAATTTATGAATGAATGCATATGAGATTGTCATCAGTAACTAAGGTCTTATTGTACTTCAGGAGCTTCCTGGGCAGGAGGGTCTGGTAACAAAGAAGAGCTCTGGAATTCAATTTATAAAATAATATCCATGAAAGTTGCTGTCTCCACAGGAGAAATCAAGAAAACCCCATTGCTGTATTTTTTATCCATGGGTATGTTTAGTCATATCAATTAGAAACGCATTACTAATTAATTGTCTTACATTATATTGGCTGGATTAAAAAGAATAACCAAACAAGATTATAGCAACTTAAAAGTCGCTACAATGCCTCTTTGCTCTTGGTAGCGATTTGTCATTTGCGCATTTCTAAAATATGTATAAAAATAAAAAATTATATTAATAATTAAAATTCCAAACACCAAAGCATCATTTAAAGCTAAATATTCTTAATTATCTAATTACAAAATTACTTAACCAAGTTGTGCATGGCAATGAAAAATACTGTCAAATGATTTACTTCCTTCTGTTCTGCTAATATGAACGTACACTGGTATCATTGGAATCTATGTTGAAAGCGTCTCTGTAAGATAAAAATTCTATTTAATCTAAGAGTATTTGAAAAAATTAAATGAAAAACCTTTAGATTGTGATGTGATTTTAAGCAAGCACCAAAGAAACTATCAAAACTTTAAATTTTTGGAAATGACACATTTACACATAACAGAATAGAAATCGTGAGTCACCAAGCCTCCACTTGTCAGTATCTAGCTCATACTCTTCCCTGACAGCCCGAGTCTATCACTGAGGGAGGTGAGGGTATGGATCCCAGCCATTTCAGCTCAACATGAGTCATCGGAAGATGGACAACACTAAAGTTAACAATACTGGATTGTATATTTGAAAGTTGCTAAGAGGGTAATTCTTAGAAGCTCTTATCACTAGAAAAAGCTATTATAACTATGCGAATTGATTATCTTTTTAAATGTTTGTTTATTTTTGAGAGAAAGAGAGAGACAGAGTGCAAGTAGGGGAAGGGGGAGAGAGAGGGAGAGACAGAATCCCAATGAAGAAGGCTCTAGGCTCTGAACTGTCTGCACAGATCCCAGTGCAAGGCTTGAACTAAGGAACTGTGAGATTAAGACCTTAGCTGAACCAACCAGGCACCTCTGTGAAATGATGAATGCTAAGTAAACTCATTGTTGTAATCATTTGGCAATATGTACATATGCCAATTCATCATATAATATACCTAAAACTAATACGGTACTATTTGTCAATTATATCTCAATTTAAAAAAAAAAACCTCACTTTGTGGGGTGCCTGGGTGGCTCAGTCGGTTAAACAGCTGATTTCAGCTCAGGTCATGATCTCTGTCTGTGAGTTTGAGCCCCACGGCAGACTCTGTGCTGATAGCTCAGAGCCTGGAGCCTGCTTCAGATTCTATGCCACCCTATCTCTCTCTCTGCCCCTCCCCCACTTGTGCTCTGTCTCTCTTGCTCTCAAAAATAAATAAACAGAAACAACTAAAAAATAACTCACTTGATACTTTTCTGCAAGGTTGGCCAAGTTTATCACGCTACAGTTTGAAATCTTCTCCTACAGTATTATTAGGAGTTTCATACGTGTTGTTGTGTGTTCATTCCTTTTTATTGCTTGGCAGTCTACTGTATGGATATACTAGCATTTGTTTAACCATTCATCTGTTGCTGGACATGTGGGCAGTTCCTAGTTTTTAGCTATCACAAATAAAGCTCTCATGAACATTCATATACAAGTCTTTGTATGGACATATGTTTTCAAGTTTTGGTCAATTTGAAATATTTTCAAGTTTCTGCTATAAGAAAATATCATTTTCACATTCAAGATAGGCAATATTTTTAAAAATTGTGAATTTTGATGAGGATGTATAAGGGATAAAGAACACTCTTTTACGTGAGCAAAATGGACTATGGATCAGCACAAATCTTTTCAATTTGACAGTACTTAGCAAAATGAGAAAAATATGCTTATCCTTTATTACAGAAATCCTCCATAGTTTTCTGTAAGTACTCTCTGTGTGCCTCAGTTTCTCACCAGTAGCAGGAGGATGATAATACTTAATATGTATATCATAGGTTTATATGTACATATCATAGGATTCTAGTGAACATTAAGTAAACTGATCCCTGAAGAATGCTTGCCAAGCCAAACTTTTTTTCATTATTATTTTTACTATTTACTTATAGGAATCCATTGTTCAGAAATACTTTATCAAATATGAAAGAAATGTATATTTGAGGGTGTTCACTACAACAATGGTGTTATGATAAAATACTCTAAGCAATCTAAAGAGATGATTATGTAAATTGTGGTACATCTGTGGGAGGCAATGAACGTGAAGAGATGACCCTCCTCCCTGGAGAAGACGCTCTTTTGTTCTAAATCCTGCCTTGGTCCTTGCTAGTTGCGAAGCTCGGTCCTTTCCGTAATCTCTCTGTTTCTTTTCTTCAACTGTAAAAAATGATAATAAAAATGTCCACTTTGCAAGAGATTTTGCGAGGCATCAATGAGACATTCCATGTAAGTTCCTTGGAAGAGAATCAGAGGACAGAGGGAACATTGCAAAATCATACATAGCATTACTCTGGAATCTTATGTGCCCCTTAAAAGAATATGAGCAGGCCTGATTGCACTGCCTTGGAAGGATCCTCATTAGAGGAAACTTTTATTTTTTCTCTGTAGATATTGTATAATGGAGGCAAGTAAAAGACCCACTTAATATATGCGTAAACATAGATGTAAATGTTCCACGATATTTCAATTATTACTTTAACCTCTAAATTACAGAGAACAGTAGCATATTTCAAGTTTCAAATACAGCTTTCTTCATTTTGATTACAAATGAAAATTTTAATATAAAACTGATCAATCCAATAATGAAGAGTAAAAATCAAAGTTAAAAAACACACTACTTGGTTTTTGAGAAATTTATTTGAATTGTGGATTTAGAAAATATATGTTATATATTTATATACATAGGAACTATCAAAAGGTAGATATGTTATTGGAAAGACTACTGTGACTGATGAAATTGAATGATTGCCATTTAATCATATAACATTATATTAAAATGACTTAACTGGAGAAGATAAAAATCATTATGTTAACAAATGCACTTTGTTTTCTGTGTCACGCAATCTCTTTAGGAGCAAAAATTTCTTCAAATACAGGTTATCCAAGAGATAGTGAAATAATTTTATGACATAAACAAACTTAGAGCCTTACTCAGATTAAAAGAGAAGTTGATTTTCATTTCATGTAGAAAGCCAAAAACAGAGCAGATGTGCATGCAGAGATAAAGAAAAACACTGACTGCTTCTCAGTAAAGGTGATAGTCTGTCTTTCATACTAATTTATGTACGATATAACAAGTAACCACTAAATGTAGTAGTAGGGGGAAATTTGGCTGGTATTGTTCCTTTTACAAGTCGCAACCACACTTCCTGCCCATAATTTAATTCTAATAAGGCATCCCCAGTTAAAACCCTATCACAGCGTATTTCACTGTTAATATTTTCAGATTCAAATGCAAGCTTGTCTCTTCCATCCACCACTAAAAATCCAGAGAGATGGGCACTAAATGACTCAATGGTATACTTAAACACATATACCCCAAGATACGGAATTCTGAATTTTCCAGTTCTTGGAGTATATGAAGCTCCATAATTGACATCCAAATTATTAAATAGGATAGGACCAGGTGTAGTCATTCCATATGTGTGAGATGCAAAAAATGCCACCATCGGTGCATATCTGTAAGATCCTTTGGAGAAATCTGTTAGAGGAAAACAAAGTGGAGTCAATTTTCATGTTTTTTAAAATATTGTCATTCCTCATTTCTTTATCATTTTATCTCAGTTATAAAAAGGGTTAGCAGAAGGAAAAAGGTCATTCATCAGATTTAACAAGGGCATAGATGTTTGCGTGCCTCTTTGCTGAATTATCTCAAATCACTTGCCCTCTGTGAGCCTCAGTTTCTCGATTCAGATCAGGATAGAATATAATAACACTTGATACATTCCTCACAGAATCGCCTCAAAGATTAATTTGCATGTTACTTTGATCTCTCTAGAGATAAAGGAATTCAAAGCACTCTATGGTTATTATGGTGTGCCAGCATGTTTTAAAGCCCCTTGTAGGAATTGAAGCTGACATGATGTAGAAACAATTTTTCCAGCACCTTGTCAAACAGTTTCTAGAGGCTAAAACGGAAACCAGACGAAGTCATATGCACTATAGAGAACTAGACAAAAGCAATTTTCTATGTAATTAATGCCAAATGGACTCACAAAGGCTGAGATTTAAAAATAGACTAAAACATTTACTCTTTGGCATGCAGCATATTATTGAAAAAAACTTGATTTAAAATATGCTTTTGTTGTCATTAAAGAAAATATATTTCAAATGTTGCACATATTTTCTTGTATAAAAATCAGAAGTGATACACTCTTAAAGTTAATTTATAACAGGCAACACTTATAAAGGAAAATGGACAAAAAAAGACATTTTGCTCTACTTAGTACATCTGAGCATATTCTAAGTCTCACCCAGTCATACTGGCACGTTTAGCTCAACCTTCATAGAAGACATGGTGCTAATTTAAAGCTTCATTTAAATGACTATATCTGACATGAATCAAAGGTATATTTCTTTATCATCTTTTTTGAGGAGAGATTATACTAATCAGATATGTACATCTGTATTTTCTTTTAAGATGCACAAGGAAAAAAAATGACTGTCTCTGTTACATCAAAATTGAAGATTTCAACAAGCCTACATCAATCTGGATTTACCTGACAGACATTTCCGCTTGTAAATCATGTATGTCATTCAGTAAGTTTCAGAAGTAAAAGGAATTAATCCTCACACGAGTCCTGATTAATCAGGTTTAAATATGCATTTGTGAATATTTTCAAACAATGTTTTTATGACACGGAGCAAATCCAAGGCTGCGTGCACTTTCATACCTGGAGCCAGAGCATTTTCGTCCAGCAGCTTGACCGTGCAGTTCTCGCCAGTGAACGGATGCCGGCAAGCACAGATAGAGTCAGTCCTTCCGTTTATGCACGTGCCTCCATTCTGACATGGGGACCTACTGCAGTCTGAATACCTCTCTGTTCCTGAAAGAGAATCAATATAAGGGAGGCTGAAAGTGACCTGTTTTCTTGTTGATCTTAAATTATAGTTTGCAGCTGAATGGGAAAAACACTGAAGCAGAAATAAGAAAAATGGGTCCCTAGGCCCAGGTTGGTGGTCAGCATGGTCGCAGGACTTCATCAAGCCTCTTCACTCTCTGAGCTCCCTTTACTGTTTCTTTGAAGTGGGGATCTTCTATAATAGTCAAAGTGGGGAAAATCCATTGCATGAAAATGTTAAGATTTTGGTTAACTGTAGGACAGGATAGGGCATCTGGACACAGATTTATATATATTTGGAACTGATACATGATAAAGGTAGTACTTCAAATCATTGAAGAAAAACATCTATTCAATACATGGTACTAATATAAATTTAATATTCATAAAAACGTATTTTCCAAATACAAAAACACTAAATGTGAAAAAAGAAAACCAAGATCACAAACTCAAACAATCCATACAATTAGATTACAATCAAGTAAAATGCATATCTTTGTAGAGCCTTAAAATTTTGAAGATCTTAAAGCAAAACGAAACAAATATCCAGAATCCATAAGAGAAAATTCTGACCTTTGCCCACCCAAGAACTAAAACACATTTGTAGAGGGGCGCCTGGGTGGCTTAGTCGGTTAAGCGTCCGACTTTCACTTAGGTCATGAGCTCGTGGTTCGTGGGTTCGAGCCCCGCGTCGGGCTCTGTGCTGACTGCCAGCTCAGAGCCTGGAGCCTGTTTCAGAGTCTGTATCTCCCTCTCTCTCTCTCTGACCCTCCCCTGCTCACGCTGTCTCTCTCTCTCCTGGAGATAANTCTGTATCTCCCTCTCTCTCTCTCTGACCCTCCCCTGCTCACGCTGTCTCTCTCTCTCCTGGAGATAAATAAAACATTTAAAAAAAAAAAAAAAACACATTTGTAGTGAAAGTCACCATTATCAGGTTCAAAGATAAGTGACAGATTAAGAGAAAAGTTTTTTTGATGGACACAAAGAACTAATGAATAATATACATAACATACAAAAAGTTCTGACCAATCCAAAGGATTGTGGAAAAAAAGCGAAAAATGGACAAATGATATGAACTGTCCAAATACTGAACAAATCCTACAAAAGTTCATTAACATTTTTAAAGCCTTTTCAATCTTACTACTAATTAAGGAATACTAAATTTTCACCACCATTTTTACATCAGGTGGCAACATTCAAAAAGATAGAAAACATTCAGTTATGGAGAAAATGAGCATTCTCATACAATGTTGGTTAGAACTTAAATTGTTAGAACCTTAGAATGAACAATTTAACCATATTTATCAGAATTAAAAAGGTTCATATGCTCAAAGCCAGAAATTTCTCCTGGAAGAATATATATTCCAGAGACACTTGCCTATGTATGCAAAGAGAATTGTTTAAAAAATGTTCTCTATGACATAATGTGCATTAGTGAAAAACTGTAAGACACCTAAATGACCATTTTATTGTAAAATAAACTATAGGTATCTTTTCCCTAAGGAGTATTAGACAGCAGTTAAAGTATGAGATAGATTTCTGACCCATTTGATTTACTGATGGCAAAGTTCCAGTTCACTCATTAAGTATAGAATAACTTCAATTATGCAGAAAACCTCAAATTATGAATATGGTTATAAAGGTAATACATAATTATGTAAACAGAGAAAGGGTTAGGGAAGAATACATTACTGGCCACAGTTACCGCTATGGCGCCACCTTGTGACAAAAGTGTAAACGGCTTACACTTTAGTCCTTTCAAATCCTGATTGTTGATGATTTTCAAATTTAGGGTTATTTGCTTTGTTTAACATTTTTCTCAAGAAGTGAGATCTGTAAATACTTTATATACATTATAATTCATATTTAAATAACTCAAATTCACATGTAATGTGACTAAACTACATGCCTGAACTACATTATTAGAATTTTTTTTGCAAAAAAAAAATATATATATATAATATATATATATTATTACACAATTAGAATTTGGTTTAAAGTATTTTGATATATTTTCTTCAAAATTCCACAAACTACTTTGCCCATTATGGAAAACTCTACACATATGCAATATCTTTTTTAAAATGTTGCAAATTGGCAAAAAAAATTTTAACATCATTTCTCAACTAAGTGAATAGGTTATTAAACCCTTCCATTTACTGTTACCTATCATTCTAAAACCTAGCCCATTACTTCCTAGCTTTAAAAACTTCAATGATTCTCCATTCTCTATAGAAATGTGAATTCTTTATGTCAAAGCACTGTCTTCATCCTTTTTCATGTTCTCTGAATCTAGCATAGTGGTCGACTCACAGGGGTGTTCGTCACAGTGCTTCACTAGGAATGAATCAACTGTGAAGCGGAGCCGAGGGGCCACTGAATTATTTATGCAATCTGATCAGCTCTACAAATCTGTTTTCCCAGATAGGAAAATGCTATTCTCACCTGTAGACTCTGCCCCTGTGCATGAATCAGCCATCAACCTATTCTAGGCAGGAGAGTTTCAGAAATTCTAGAAATGTACTTTTTTGTATTCCTGTTGGCTCTCCTGTGAGTCTACACAACCAGGGCCTTTGCTTTCTAGGTAATGGGTAGGACGTACCTTTCAATTTTCTCTTCCCTCCATTTCATTACCTCTAAGAATAGGGTGTTTCCTTGTTCTCTGTAAGATGTTTCAGAGGATGACATTTTACCCTTGATTCCTATTCCTTTGCAAGGTCATTCATCTGGAGGAGGGGTTCACTTGAGTTTGATTCCTCCTATTGCTGTAGTAGCTGGAGGTTGCAGAGAATACACATGGTTTGCCTCCTGGGGAATCTGGTGTTCCTACTGAACACCTGTCCAGGATGCCTCACACACTGGTCTGCGTCTGCCGCTTTTGTTTTAAGTTCCTTTCTCTGGCTTCTCTGATATTTTAGATATTCCTGGTCTGCAAATCTCTGTTTAATTACTCCACATTATGATACATAAAATTATGCCCAGGTCTCCCAGAACTGGATATATTGGGAATTGACTCTAATTAGAGCAGACTGCAGTAACAATTGCCAAGTATGACCTTAGACTGAAATGAAATGGCCTTATATTTTTGTTAGTGTTATATACGCATTAAGTGTCCATTTCCAATTTTTGCAACTGCATTACATTGTGTCATAACAGGTCTTCTATGTCCTGATGTCATTGAAATTTTCTAAAATCTCATATTTATTTAATTCATTTTACCATGGATTTGCAATTACCAACAATTGCATTTATCTTATTAGGCTTGACTTATCATCTGTCCATTGAAACTGTTCTTTGCTTTAATTCTTCATGCAATAGTTTAAATTAATACTCCCAGGTTCATCATTTCCAAACTTATGTTTCATGTGTTCATCCAAGTCACTGATAAAAATACTTAATGGATCAGTGTCAAGCCAGAGTTTTATAATAGACAACTAATGACTGATTGACATTGATTTATAAATTGAAATTATTTATGGTTTGTTCTACAATCAATTAAAAAATCTACTTTTGTACATCATCTAACTCACGTTTTTTACTTTATTACAAAAATACTTAAAATACTGGTTGGGTATCTATAAGTTCCTGTATATGCTTGTGCTCAAAAAGCATTTTTTTTCTTGAATTAACAACAAAAGTCAGACCTCCTAAAAGCATAATTTTCTTTTTGAAATCTTCTCTCATCCCCATCAACAGAATTAATTATGTTAATTCTCTTATTGTCAGATGCTCAGAAGTTCTCTGTTGAATTTATCACACTCCACTTTAATTGCTCACATATCCTCCTCACTTTCAGTTACTTTGTGAGCTTTTGTGAAGTCAGGGCTTGAGTCCTCTGTTAAACTTTGTGTCACTACTGACCAGCATGGTACCTGACACACCAAATGCTAAAATGTCTTTTTTAAAGTTGAATAAAGAAGCACAGGGTGATGTATGGAGTTGCTGAATCACTTATATCATACATCTGAAACTAATAACACCATATGCTAACTACCTGGAGTGAAAATAAAAACTAAAAAAAATAAGATGAAGATGGATAAACAAATTAATGAAAGATTGAACAGATGACCACATTCTTAACCCAACACTCTAACCCTTCTCCACATTTCGCAAAGACTGGGTAGAGTTCGATGCTATGATGTCATTGGCATGTTTTTCTAGAGACCTGGAATCATCTCAAGCAAATTTTCCACAGCTTGTCTCCTACCTTGGGCTTCACTAAAGTCTTAAACTCTTTCTAGCCCATTTATTTTCTTTGGTGGAGGTCAGTACGATTAGTTGAACAGTCTGCCAACTCAACATTCTACTATCTTGTGCAAATAGCATAACTAATCCCTCAATATTCATTTCCCTGCTCTGAACATGACTAAAATTCCTTTGCCATTGACTTGGAATGTTTCATAAGCTATAATTTGTTCTGGTCTTTGCTTTCTGGCCCCTAATATGTGCTCAAGTTATACTTTCCTATTAATTCTACTTCTATATTTCATAAATGTTCATGTTAAATTTGAACTGACTGGAGAGCTCCTTACATTTTCAAAGCACTCTGCCTTTGCTAATATTTGTCATTCTTTATTATAATTATTTGCAAAATCTATGAGGTCCATGAGAAGAGGGAGTGTGTTGAATTTACCATTCTGTCCACTCAGTCTTTCTCAGGGGTCATTCAACATTTACTCAATAGATACTTAATGAATAAAATGAAGTGGCAGCAGCACATGGGTGGCTCAGTTGGTTAAGCGTCTGACATTCGGTTTTCGCTCAGGTCATTATCTCATGGGTTTGTGGATTTGAGCCGTTTATTGAGCTCTGCACTGGTGGCATGGAGACTGCTTGGGATTCTCTTTCTCTCTCCCTCTCTCTGCCCCTCCCCCACTTGTACTTTCTCTGTCTCTCTCAAAATAAGTAAAATTTAAAATAAATTTAAAATAAATAAATAAATAAATAAAATGAAGTGGCCTATTTTATTGATGTTTTCT